AGGGTTTAGGGTTCAGGGCTCGAGGTTCCTCTAGCACCCTCTAGAACGAAGCCTGACAGAACCCTCAAAACGGAATGTTTTGCTGAACCCAGAGAGCCCAATAAACCTTAATTAAGGAATATACCTTAAATCATAATATTAAGGCCCCTACAGTTTAAGCTATATTCCTTATTTAAGGGGTATTGGGCTCTGTGGGAAGGACTCTGGACTTGACTGGGACGAGCTGGAGAAGGAGGCGACGAGAATCGTTGTCGGAGGGCCTACTTGGAGGGTCGGGGGACTTAGTAAGTAGTTATTTTACAGACTTATAAGTATCATAGCCCCAATTAGGACCCCTTTTAAGATACTTATAAGTCTACTTATTGATCACTTACTAAGTCCCCCGACCCTCCAAGTAGGGATTGACTGTGCAGAAAACAAGACTATACCCAGAAGCCAAGCTACACACACAGTATGTACAGATGTAGAGACACTCTATCTATGTATCTATCTATCTATCTATCTATCTATCTATATGTATATGTATATGTATATATATATATATAGATATGCATATGCTGGCATATACATGTACATGGATCGTTATGAAGATTGATTGATTGATTGGTTGACTGATTGATCGGTTGATTGGTTGGGCGATTTATAAGACCCAGCGACACAAACCTACAGACAGGTAACTGCTTTTCTATGGCTTGCTAGATGTGAAGTTAGGGTGGGATGGTTAGAGTTTTGCATTTACAGTTGGTACTTCTGTCAGGGTATACGTAGGGGTGTCCGGTTGGTTTACGAAAGCGGGGGTCGGGCTGATCTGGGGTGTCTACTAACGTCACTCAAGTGCATCCTGGGCATGACGCTTTTCATGGAGAGACCTTCATGGTTTTGATTACAGTAGGCTTTTGAGGGCACATGCAGGTACGACTGCACAGGGACTGTAAGGCGAAATTGTGATGGATGATAAAGACTTGAATCTTAAGCCTTATCCTGCTGCGCTGTCCGCTGTCAAAAAATCAGGCAGGGCTGTACTGCGTAGGATTTCTGTTCTACCTGGACCCTATGAAACCTACCTTTTGAGGGCTCCTTATCATGATTCCTTTAATTTATATACGCCCTTAAAACGGTGGGGGTTATGGTAGACCGACGTTCTCAGGGCGAGGAAGCCCTAAACAAGGAGTGAACTGGACAGCTATATACATATCATAAGAAGCGCACCAGCAACATCAGCAGCAGCAGCAGCAACAACAACAACAGCTGGCCCAATCGCCAATAGGAGCGGACTCCCGCACTCCGCCTAAGCCCGAAACAACATATGAAAAAGAAACCTAAACTCGAATATCTTCATTTTGGTTTTCCCCAACAACAAGAAACCCAGATTCGGATCTCTTGAGACCACCCTAAACCCTAAACCCCTAAACCCCTAAACCCTAAAACCCACCAGTTTTCCAGTTGCAAGGCCTTGGAGGAGGAACAGAGAGCAAAGAAGCGATCTCGGGCCCCTGCCGGCAGAGGCACGCCATGGGAAAGGGCGCCCAAAGCCTGAATGGTTCCGGGGGGGCTGGGGGGGTTGAAGGGGTGCTTTTTTTTAGGGTTTAGGGTTTAGGATTTCGGTTAGGGCTTGGGGCTTTTGTAGTCATTGCTACGACTGGATTTGTTTAAGGTTTCTGTCCTGTTGCGGGGGTTGCAATGAATGATGACAACTCCTTCATCATTACTGCTACCATCATGATCATAGCAATTTGTTTTCCTAGTGGCATGTATCGCTAATTTTAGTTCCTCCTGCGTTTGTAAGTACGATGCTTGTCCTCATGGTCGTTGTCAATTGTCGTGGAGGCGCGGCCAAAGCTCCACCCCGCAAGACGAGGAGGACGGCTTCAGCATTTTTTCGACAAGGGGTGAATTGGTCTGGGGGTTTCCGGCATGCATTTACACGGTTTATTGCTGACGGGCCTTCCAGGGCTCTCAGGAAAAAACCGAACCCGTTGACTCGATTGAGGTAGCTTTACATGAATTAGGTTTAGCTTTGGGGGCTGGTCCTTAAATCTTAAGGATTGAGAGGTTTGGGCGGGGGTTTAGCACCTGGTGTGGTGAGTGATGAAGTTTCTTAGGATTAGGATTGCGGGTTTAAGGTTGGGACCAGTGAATGATGAGGATGAGCAACCCAAGGGGCGCGTTTCCACTCTCTCGGCAGGACGGCAAGCGTTTAGGCAGAGCACTGACTG